TCCTCCTCCTCCTCCTCCTCCTCCTCCTCCTCCTCCTCCTCCTCTCTCCATAAACCCCACTCCCTTCTAGCACTGATGATGTTACCTAGTTGGGCCATGAAATGTCTGCAAGAAAACCATCAACCTCAGAGAGCACCAAGGACCCCACATTTTTCTCCCAGCATCCCCCTGCAGATGGAACGCCCGTAAGCATCAATCTACCCAAGAACAAGTCTTGTGAGTCCATGGCCCCCTCAGCTGGTTTTGGACCCCCTCCTCCACTGACACAGCACCTTGGCCTTCAGAATCTGCTCCATGTTGGAGGCCACGTCGTCCAGCTCCAGTTTCAGCTCGCTCTTCTCCTTCTCCAGCTTCTGCTTCACCCGCTGCAGGTTGTCGATCTGCTCGCCCAGCTCGGCCATGGAATCCGCGTGCTTCTTGCGCAAGGTGGCCGCCGTGGCCTCGTGCTGCAGCGTGGCCTCTTCCAGGTCACGTCGCATCTTCTGGAACTCGGCCTCCCGTTTCTTGTTCAGCTCGATCTGCACCGAGGTGGCCCCTCCGGCCTCCTCCAGACGTTCGCTGATCTCCTCCAGTTCCCGGGAAAGTTCAGCGCGCTGTTTTTCCACCTTGGCCCGGGCTGCGCGCTCCGCCTCCATCTCCTCTTCCAGCTCCTCAATCCGTGCCTGAATGTTTGGGGGGGAAAGACAAAGCACTAGACCCTTCCATCTTCTAGAGCAGGGGTCCCCAACCCCCAGGCTGCGGACCAGTCCCGATCCGCCGCCTGTTAGGAACCGGTCCAATTGAAGGTGAGTGGCGGGTGAGCAAGCAAAGCTTCATCAGAACATCTGCAGGATCTAGGCTGCATGTGAAACCATCCGCCCCCTACCCACCCAACCCCCATCCTTGATAAGCTTCACTTCCTGGGGCAAAATAGACGGCCGGTCTAGATTCTGGAGAATTTCTGGGGAAATGGTGTACGCTAGGGTCTCCTGCTTGGGTGTGGGGTTGGACTAGATGACCTACACGGTCCTTTCCAATTCTGTTATTCTATTCTATTCTATTCTATTCTATTCTATTCTATTCTATTCTATTCTATTCTATTCTACTCTCTATTCTATTCTATTCTATTCTATTCTATTCTATTCTATTCTATTCTACTCTACTCTACTCTACTCTACTCTACTCTACTCTACTCTACTCTACTCTATTCTACTCTACTCTACTCTGCTCTCTATTCTATTCTACTCTACTCTCTATTCTATTCTATTCTATTCTATTCTATTCTATTCTATTCTATTCTATTCTAGTCTAGTCTAGTCTAGTCTAGTCTAGTCTAGTCTTAATTCTAGTCTATCCTATCCTATTCTCTCTTCTCTTCTCTTTTCTTCTTCTCTTCTCTCCCCTCCCTTCTCTTTTCTCTTCTCTGTTATTCTACTTACTCTATACTCTACTCTACTTACTCTATATTCTATTCTATTCTATTCTATTCTATTCTATTCTATTCTATTCATTCCTACTCTACTCTACTCTACTCTACTCTACTCTACTCTACTCTACTCTACTCTACTCTACTCTACTCTACTCTACTCTACTCTACGTTCTCTTCTGTTCTGTTCCGTTCTGTTCTCCCTTTCCCTGGCTGAGCATCAATGAACGTTTGGTACCTGCAGCTCCTTGAGTTTCTTCTGCAGCTGTGAGGCCAAGGCTTGTTCGTCTTCAATCTTGCTGTTCTGCTCGTTGATATCAAACTCTTTCCTGCAAAGAGAATTCTGGGAAGTAAATCCTTCTCCTGATCCCCCCCCCTCAACTGGAGAACCCAAAGGCACAGAGTTGGTGCTTCCCTTACTTTTTAATTTTCTCTTCCAGCTGTTGTTTGTCGTTCTCTAAATCCATAATGTTCTCTTGTGCCAACTTGAAGTCTCCTTCCAGCTTTCTCTTGGAGCGTTCGAGATCCATCCGGATCTTCCTCTCCTGTTCCAGAGAACCTTCCAGCTGTTGAGGAAGAGAGGAGAGGAGAGCAGAGGAGAGGAGAGAAGCAAAGAAGGGAAAAGTGAGAGAGGAGGGAAGGAAGGAAGGAAAGAAGGAAAGAAGGAAAGAAGGGAAAGAGAGGGAGGAAGGAAGACAAGAAGGAAGGAAGGGAGGAAGGAAGGAAGGAAGGAAGGAAGAAAGGAAGGAAGGAAGGAAGGAAAAAAGAGAAGAGAAGAGAGGAGAGGGAGAGAGGAGGAATGTAAGGAAGGAAGGAAGCAAAGAAGGGAAGAAGTGAGCGAGGAGGGAAGGAAGGAAGGAAAGAATGAAAGAAGGGAAAGAGAGGGAGGACAGAGGAAGGAAGACAAGAAGGAAGGAAGGGACGGAGGAAGGAAGGAAAAGGAAAAGGAAAAAGAAAAGAGAGGAAGGAAGGAAGGAAGGAAGGAAGGAAGGAAGGAAAAAAGAGAAGAGAAGAGAGGAGAGGAGAGGGAGAGAGGAGGAAGGTAAGGAAGGAAGGAAGAAAGGAAAGGGAAAGAGAGGAAGCAAGAAAGGAAGAAAGGAAGGAAACAAGAAGGGGAAGATGAAGGAAGGAGGAAGAAAAGAAGGAAGGAAGGAAGGAAGAAAGAAAGGAACAAAGGAATGAAGGAAAAGGAAAAGAAAGGAAAGAAAGGAAAGAGGGAGGAAGGAAGGAAAAAAAGAAAGAAAAGAGAGGAAGGAAGGAAAGAAGAGAAGAGGGCTTTAAATACCAACCAAATGCCACCAAGTGTCCCTTTAA